CAGTCTATTGGCAGATCCATCTACCTGCAGAATTGGTACTGCCTGGCAGTCGGCGCGTGTATTGATCTGTTTTACCACAATTTCACTCATAATTTATGCGATTTCTTCCCACGTCTTAGGTAACCTATTCTCGTCTGTGAGGGGTATAAAATTGAAGCCGGCAAATAAAGGATCTTAAAATTTAGTAGTTAGTATTTTTGCACGCTCTTTTTTATTATTTCTCCGTGTACTGCGAACATTAATTTATAATTTACATGGATTTGAGGATCTGCGTTAACCCTTTAAAGCACAGCGGTTGTTATATGTGCCACCCGCTTTAACATAGTAAAGCCATTCATTCTGCCCACAGAGTGTATCTGTGTGTTCCGTACGGTTCTCACAATAAACAGCGACTGTTTCCCCAAACAGCATTAACCGGTTGTAGCGGAGAGATCCGGACTGAGCCAGAAGCTCCAGGCTTAGAGGCAACGTGTGTTGGACAGAGTGGTTTTTGCGGATTTAACTTTGCATAGTGTGATCACGCCAACTCCCATTTGGCGAAAGTACGTCAGAGCAGGTTGCAGTTGTGCGCAGTGCATGAGAAACAACAAAACAAAGGGCGAATCTGAGCGTACACCAAGATGGTGGACGTCACAGAACACTTGAAGAAAGGCCAAGCATATTCATAAGAGACAAACCCATCTTCTCGCCAGAGATGATGTTACCTAAGGACTATGGCTGCAAGGGCTCAGTTGAAAAAATCTTTGGTCGTGGGCCTCAAGGGACTTAACACCAAGACAAACTAATTGGCGGTAAACCGTCAGTCGTAAAGTAATTTCGACTTTGACTTTGACCACGCTGAGATGTTTGCGTTTTGAGATGTAAGGGACAGATTAGGGGTACACTGAGTGAGAACTTATTGGCCCCTGTTAATTATACCGGTAGTAAACTGCGGTACAGTAAACCATTAGCGTAAGGTAAAGTTTTCCCTGTCCTTAATTGGTTAAGCGCCTCGCTATGAGGATGTATGGGGGAGTGGAGGTATTGCTGCACCATTTTTTACATCGGCACTAGATGGAGGTGAGTGGTCAGCTTCATTCCCCTGCCGCTTTGTCCCCGGTATCCTAGAAGACAGGGCGGGTCCCAGAGCCGGTCTGAATGAGGTGTAAATTACAGAAAAAATCTGTTGTTCCTGCCTAGAATCGAACCCCGGCCATCCAGTCTGTAGCCCGTCGCTATACCGACTGAGCTATCCCTGCCGCATATCTAATAATTTAGCAGGTTGAAAATTGAGACTTACGTAAGTTGTTAGGCGTTATTTACGTTCAAATGGTTAAATTTGCTTCTGTTTATGTAAAAAGTTAACAAGAAGTTCTGAGAAGAACTAGTCGCCTACTTTCCTTTGATACGACACGGACCGCATACAAAACGAAAACAATTAAGGGGGTGACATGCATACCCACAGACATCAAGGTGATCTTATAATCTCCCCCCCCCCCAAAAAAAAAAAAATATGGGCATACGCAGATATCACGCAAGGTGATCTTCATGAATTAAAAAATTAAGGGGGCTACACAGATGAATACACAGAGAAAGTACGGTGACCTCATAAGCTTTTCTTTTTTTCCAAAATAAGAAAAGTGTGCTAAAATGCGAAGTTGCACTTAATAATTACACCATGCAGGCATTTGAGGGAATGGAGGTATGACTCCATCATTCTTAACCGCGGTGCTAGATGGAGGTTAGTGCTGGCAGCGTTTTGCAAACCCTTTGCTTAGTAGCCAGGCTAGGACTCACAGTACACAGGTGTTTCGGAATCCTAAACGCGCTGCAGAGAGACAAGAGAGTATTTCTTATTTCAGCTTCTCCAACTATACAAGGATGCTTTATTTCTGGTTGGATTTTGTGCCTTCCCGCGTTCTACAGAAATGTATCAGCTCCCCTTAATATAAAAGCAGCCTTTAAACAAAAACGCGTTGACGAAATGGAACGTTATTTGCAAGCATCTCGAAACACACACAAGAACAAACACTGAAATCGTATTGAAGCCAGAATTCGGTGTCTGTCAATATTTGCTGCTGTACCCCCTTCTTCCCCACCCCTCAGCCCGGCTGCTGAATCTACCTGTCAGCCTCGCCCTGCAAAACGCGCGCCGCGGTGCCAACAAGTTGATGGAAATGTCCGGGGGAACATTTGAAACTGACAGCGAGATCTGTCCGCATTTCAATTCAGCGGAACTGAAGGAGAACAGGACGCCTGTTGCTTAGCAACAGTTCCTGTTCACTGGTTCGTGTTCTATTGGTCGACGNTTGCGTTAAATTTTTTTTTTTTTTTTTTTTTTTTTTTTTTTTTTTTGTTATTGAAAAAAATAAAGTAGGCTGATGTGATCTCAATGCTGTGTATCTGTGTATTCACCCTATCAACTTTTGAATGTCTTAACCAAACTTTATGAAACTCGGTATCTCAACAGCATACTTCATGAATCCCTTCCATCAGTCTGTGTCTCTGTATGTGTATCCCTCCTATCGTTGCTAGGCAACGGCTCAGTAAAGTGTATCCCTCCTTTATTCACTAGGCAACGGCTCGGTAAACACGCTCCCTCGGCAACAAATACATGAAACAATCGACGAATTGTTAGACGCATTTGTCTGTGTGTCTGTGTATCCTCTGTCGTTGCTTGGTAACAGCTCATTTTGTTATTCAACAATGCTGTCAATGCGCAGGCGGTGTAGCTACTGGTTACGGGTTGGACAGCCGAGGAGTCGGAGTTCGAGTCCCAGTAGGGGAAATATTTTTCTCTTCTCTACGTCATCCAGACCGGCTCTGGGGCCCACCCAACCTCCTATCCAATGGGTACCGGGGGGCTCTTTCCCCGCGGGTAAAGCGGCCAATGAATGATACTGACAACTCACTTGTAAATAGTGCCGAGGCCAAGAATACGTGGAGCTATACCTCCACTCCCCTCTATGTCTTCATGGCTTAATGCTTAATTATTGATGCGCAGAAGCCAGCCACTAGCCGCTTCAGTGTGTCACTGCTTGCGCTACAGGCCGTGACAGGTTATAATGCTGGCGCCATGGATAATAATTAAGAAAAATTCGGTACATCCTGAGTATGGATGCTTTCAGTTATAATGCTTCTGTAGTCTGGAAGAGGGACATTTCGTTGGGTAGGTTGCCTGCACTGTGCTGACGACTAAGTCGTGTAGGCAGCTGTTCACGCGAATGCAGTAGGGAAATGCATTGCCTGTTTTCTCTCGCGCGCACACCATCGTACATGAAAATGAACTTATATAACTCTGGTAGAAGTTGACAGACCAGATTGTTGTTGATGCTTGTTTCTCGCTGGTTCCTTCCTTGACTTACTCTCCAACTCTGAAGATGGAGACAATATGGTCCTCCGAAACGCTAGCAAATTACCAACTTACACAGGTTCACAGTCACCGCTGTGACCTCATATCGAACCCATATACGAAGAGTTGTATCTACTGGGATATAACACCGTGGAGTCCATTGAAAGTCAAGTGACGTTTCGGACGAATATGTCGCCTCAATCTTTAGGGTCGAAAAATAAGCCAAGAAAGACACCGGCGTGAAAGCAGGAACATTACAGAGCTTGCCACCTGATTTCATGCTGGTTTCTTGCTTGACTTAATCTTCGGTTCGGAAGATGGAGGCGATATACATCGTATTGCCGCTTCATAGTGGTGACGTAATGTGTTTCCTGTGAGGTACGAACTGAATTCTTATATATTGAAAGGTAAAAGGTACAGTTGAACCTGTGCCTAACTAATTAAGCACTACGCCATGAAGGCGTATGAGGGAGTGGTGGAAGTATATAGCCACGTTTTCTTGTCCTCGGCACTAGCTGGAGGAGAATGGTCAGCTTCACACCCCGGCCGCTTTACTCCCGGTACCCATTGGATAGGAGGCTGGGTGGACCCCAGAGCCGGTCTAGAGCACGTTAAGGATAGGAAATTCTTGACCCAACCGGGTCTCGAACTCCGACCCCTTGGGCGTCTAGCCCGAAGCTAGGCGCTATACCGACTACGCCGTCGCAGCTGCAGTGTGAAAAATTTGCGAAGTTTCCTTTGGCATTCAGACAGGTGGAAAATCGCTCAGAGTGATAAAAACCCAAGCCATTCCGTCTAAACTCTGCAGTGTATGGTTTTCTTCAATTATAGTGCGCGATTGCTGTGTTAATATTAATTTTTAGACATAATTGGCGGCTAGCGGATACTGCACGGAACCCCGGCCAGTAGGCAGTGTGTATAATACAGTGATAAAGTAAGTCGAGTAACTGAACACGCGTCATCAAACAGTTACACGCCGTCTCTTATCGTGTGGCAGGTAATTTCCGTTGCTTTGACGTGCTACCGGTTCCACAGTTTCCACTCTTCACCGCGATGCATTTCAAAGCGTTTGTTACCTCTAACACGTGTATAGCCCGCTGCAAAATTACCCGTGACTGTTCCACGTCCGTAGCATTTAAATAGCCTGCGATAAAATTCAGAGCTGAAATACGGAAATCATTTAGTCTGCATGAGTAAAATCACTTCAGTTTAAATGTTATAGAATATACAGGGTGTTCGCTTTAATCATATGCGACATGATATAATATTGGTCGGATTTTTCAAATTCCAGGACGTTATAGATATCTGTGGGAACCGCGATAGCGTAGTCGGTATATCAACTGGCTACGGATTGGACGACTGAGGGGTTGGATTTCGAGTCCCGTTAGGGTCAAGAATTTTCTCTTCTCAAAGTCGTCCAGACCGTCTATGTGGTCCACTCACCCTCCTATCCAATGGGTACTGAGGGCACTTTCCCCGGGGGTAAAGTGGCCTGGTCGTGAAGCTGACCACTCAACTCGAACTAGTGCCGAAATCAGGAAAATGTTGACCTGTGCAATCACTCCCCCATACGTCTTCATGGCGCAGTGCTTAATTAGTTAAGCACAGAAACAACTTTACCTTTCTTATCAGAACGGTGGTGCCAATTATCTGTTCTCTTCTTTCGCAGGAAACGGTCTCGGTTCTTCCGCTTTAGGCTCCCAGCAGCTCCAGGATCCTCCTGGGCTCAACTTCAACCTGACTTCGTCATCATCGTCGTCCTCTTCAGCGCAAGGCATTTCCGGCGACTGCATCTCGTACATTCGACGGCAGCTGAGTCTGGCCGAGATCTCCAGAGGCGTGCCTTTGAACAACGAATATGAACTAATTGCCTTCAGCCACTTCACCTTCAGTCGCGTGTATCCTGTTGACCTCGGACTTGGTAAGCGCGTCGTCGAGAAACCAATTGGATTCAAACGCAAGGACATCGTAGAAGCCTTAGTGAAAGCACTCGAGTCCTTAAACAAAAACGTAACGACTCCTTCAGCAGTTAATAATAATAGTAATAATAACAACGTTAATCTAAACTCAAAAACTTATCCGAATCGTTATACGTTAGACGATTTTTTGGAAGGACTTTACAGAAACGAACCTACGACAGGTACTCAATATGAAATGTATTTTAGGACTAAAAATATAAATACAAGTAATAAAAGCCATATGGACCAAGTGACGTCTGGTGTTACCAAAGTTATCCTGATGAGGCCGTTTGCGCCTTTGCAGACAGTTTCTGCAGAGACACTGCCAGTCGCGAAAGACAAAGAGTTCATTCATATTATTCTGCCGTTGTCAGGACGGACTGTAACATTTCAGAGCTTCATGGACAAGTTCGTGAAGATTGCTCTGAAGAACGACAGAAGAGTGCTTCTGACAGTTGTGTACTTCGGCGAGGAAGGCTTGGCCGAAGCGCGGAAAATCATGTCAAGAGTGTTGGTGACGAAAAACAGTGGTGGTAACAGTAACAATTTAAGGTTGTTGGCTTTGAATGAGACTTTCTCGCGGGGTAAGGGGTTGAGGGTTGGTGCTGAACGTGTTTGGGACCATCAGGGTTCGTCAAACGGCCCCATGAGCAGCCATCATAAGGGAGATGTCCTCCTGTTCATGTGTGATGTCGACATTGTCTTCAGCGCACGATTTCTGGACAGATGCCGATGGAACACTGAACCTGGCCGCAAAGTGTATTATCCAGTGGTGTTCAGCCTGTACAACCCCCACGTCGTGTACACCCTCCAGGGAAAGGAGGTACCGGTGGAGACGGATCAACTCGTCATATCACGTGACACCGGATTCTGGAGGGACTTCGGCTATGGCATGACGTGCCAGTATAGGTATGCTGACCACATTTTAATCGTTGATTAATGTCTGTATTCATGGTTCTTCTGAGCCTCGACTGTTACAACTAACCGATGGTTATTCTGGGTTTGTGTACCAACCTGTGAAAGTTTGTTTCCCGCAGATCGGCAATTCATCATCCCACAGAATCCTCCTATAGACCTTGGTAATTGTATTTGGTTACCGCCCACGAGCATATACAGAGTGTCCCAGGAGTAAAGGTCATAATTCTGGGAGGTCATTGTATCCGTCATTCTGAGCAAGAAAGTATATATGTACATGTGTCCTATTCCGAACGGTTTCCGAGATAGACCTATTTCACTGTACACTGTACAGACGAGCAACACGCCATATCCTCAAACGAGTTGCAAAGTGCATTGATGTTGACGGTGGAATTTTCGAAAATGCATTATACTAGGTAAACTGTGCCAACTTTGTCACTTGAACAATAAATACCGGTATTAGAAACAGTACGTAATATCTCTTTCTTATCAACAGTTTTGGAACTGTACAGCCAAATAGCTCGGAAACCGTTCGGAATAGGACACACGTACATATACATTTTTTTTGCTCAGAATGACCGATACTGTGACCTCCCAGAATGTTGACCTTTCCTCCTGGGACACCCTGTATAGGCTGTGCTAGTTTATAGCTAGCTAATTCCATGGAACAAAATCTTTCCTGAGAAGCTAATAGTCGTTCAGCTGTTCAGTATATTTCCAACGTTTATGTTGCCCCAACTTTCGTTACCCTCTGCTCAAGAGCCTGCCACTGACCTCTGTCGTGAGCCAGATGAAACCGGTCATAATTTCCTGTTAGGTACACTTGATGGTACCGCGGAACCTTCCAGTGGGTGGATGATATACGAATTGGAGAGGATTCGGAAGGAGACCATCCTAGTCTAATCGACGTAGTGTTCCGAGAGGGACAGGGGAAAACTCTTAACTAATCAGTAAAGATGCCCAATGCCTCGGTCGAGACTTGAACCGATAACCTCCCAAATACAAGCCTGGAGCGTTACCGCTACGCCAGCCGGCTCAGTATAATTATTCTACGTTATTTGACATCGGGCACGCGGTAGCGTAGTTGTCTGAGGCACTGTGCTACACGTCGGAAGGTCACGGGTTCGATTCCCGATGAGGTCATTGCATTTTATAATTGACGTAATCCTTCCAGCCGCACTGTGGCCCCGCGGTCTACTCGGAGTAGGAGTATCAGGAATGTTCCTAGGGGTAAAGGGCGGCCGGCCGGCGTGAAAGGATGACAACCTTACTGCCACCTGTGAGCCGATTGTCTAGAAAATTTGAGAGCCTCGACGTCTCACAACCCTATGGGCCTTCACGGCCTGTTACAGGGACAGCTTTAGCGTTACTTTCTTTTCTATGTTATCCTCCCATCCAAATCTATACTGAGAGGCGTGTTCCTGTCAAGATCTCCAGCTGGAATGTCGGATGTGTTTCTTACAGGCATCCATGTCGCTACTGGTCACGGCAGGAAGGCGAGTGGCGTGTAACTGGCTGGCCTGCAGCGCTATGCGTTTCGGCCCTCCTTACCTCAATATGCAGGCCTAAGGAAAACAGTCGGTATGAGTCTGTTAGCTGTGTTGAATGCTAACAGATGACGTTGACTACGCGATCCAAGACGACCGCAGTATTGGAATTCATGGACACTAGGTTCTTGAGTTCGAATCTTAGTCAGATCATGGATATATGGTCACATTTGACCGATATGGGCCTTCCAGTTGACCGTTCCCCAGCAGTGGAGCTGTGCTCAATGTGCAGTAAGTAAAATTAAATAAAAACCTCTCAAATATTGAAGAGACTAGGTGCTCATGAGTGAAGATTTGTTTCTTCCGGGATGGCTCTGTGTTAGATCGTCGTTGCTGACGTTTCGTAGGGGAAACTGATTCCATCTTCGTGGTAGAAAAGTAAGCCAATCTTCCTTCGGTACATGTGTCACTTCCAAGTGCCCCTGTAACTGTTGGTTCACTCAGTGCTCTGCCCCCACATTGAGCGTGTTTTCCTTCCCTGAATATGGAGGCAGTATGTTCGTTGGAAACGTTGGTAACATCTAAGAGTTTGTTGATGGTACATTTGTGCAAATATTATGTTTTTTGACATTATCCATCATCTTGTCTTTATCTAAATACAATCCTGTTTATTTTTCAAAACGCAAGGTTTCTGAGACTGGATTCTGTCTCCTCCTTCAGGTAAAACCTCCTCACTTGGGTCCAATCCCTAGAGCTAGTCCCTATCTCCGGACACCTGTGCCAGCTTCAAGAAGGGCTATATAAATCAAACACAACACAAACCATCTGCGAGAGCTAAGAAAACATTAAATTATTGATGCTCCACACGTTGGTAACGATGCACCAGAATTCTCTGTGCCTTCCAAGAAGATACACATAATTTTTGCCATATTACTGAAAAGGTGAACGAGAGTTTGGAAGGAAAGGAACTGAGAAATGTGGGAGGAAGTAAAGAAGAAGCATGTGTATGAGATCTCATTAATCTTTTGTGACGATTCGGTAAACACAGCATCTCGTGTTCTCACAAATGCGGGGGCCTCAGACACGGACGAGCAAATGCTTCCCAATGTGTTTTTGCCCTGTTGAGTTCCAGGGAAAAGAAGTTGGACATGAGACGCGGTAATGTTCTCTTGCTGCTCCGTGGAATATTAAGCGGCTGCGTTCAAGGGTGTAGCTTCATCTTACTTCGTCACGTCTTCCCCCCACCCCGTCTCAGTTCCATATTTGGCGAAAACGTTCTCTTAATTCGAGAATTCTTTTGCTGTTTGAACTCATACCGTATGGTGACACCACTGTATAAAGTTCACATATAGCAAACCTTAAACTTCATATTTATATAAGTTTCTTTATTAAAATCCGGCACAACACAACAAAGCAGTTGATCTATTACAGTATTTTGCTACATTTTTCGCCTTTTTAGAAAGCGATAATCAGGCAAATACGCAATTAACGTGTTCTTTAGCTATTGAATTCGATACTATATAATTCAGTGCAATGTTGGCTGTCGTGGGATCGAATCCCGTTGAGGTTGATTTTTTCAGTTTACCTAATCCTTCCAGCCGCACTGTTTCCTTGGGTTCGACTCAGCCTCTAACAAAAATGAGTACCAGGAATATTCTTGGGGGTAAAGGGCGGCCGGCGTGTAAGGCTGACAACCTTACCGTCATCTTTGAGCCGATATGGGAGCCTCGACATCCCACAACCCTATGGGCCTCCAAGATCTGTTACAGGGATACCTTTACTTTATTTTTACTTACTTTACATATAAATGTCCTATTAATGTAGGTTGCTGCAATCGTAATGTTACGTCATGGTGTTTCTGCAGACATATGGCGACAGTTTTCTTGCCCGTATACACGTATGAAGTGGCCCGTTGCTATGCGTGCAGTATTATTATTTGACGGGCACCTCTATTTACGTGTACTATGGCCTATCAGATTGGAAGGCGGATTGACATCGCTGTACCGGTCCCGCCAGTTTTGTAATTGCTGAGCCTGTTGTTCTGGCGGGTTTAATATAACTATGTAAGCGATTTGGGGTGTAAATATTTTCATTTTGGATCTTCAGTGTATAGTTGTGGGGTTGAGGACATAGGAGATAAATAGCACGGATTATTATTATTATTATTATTATTATTGGGAGCCGGAATAGCCCAGTCGATATAGCGACGTACTACGGGCTGGACGACAGAGGGGTCGGAGTTCGAGTCCCGGTAGAGGCGAGACTTTTCACTTCTACATGTCATCCATACTGGTTCTTTGATCCGCGCAGCCTCCAGTCCAATGGGTGCCGGGAGCTCTTCCCCGGGGGTAAAGCGGCCGGGAAGTGAAGCTGACAACTCACCTCCAACTGATGCCGAGGTGAAGAAAATGTGGATCTATACACCCACTCCCCCATACGCCTTCATGATTAATTAAGCACAAGGAAAATAGCTTGTTTACATTTAACGATGCTACCATTCGGTAAGGTTGTATGGTGTTGAATGGTAATATGATAATGAATCAAGAATCGGGAAAAATCTGGAAGGAGGCGGTTGTGGTCTGTATTAAGGTATTGTCTCGACATTTGTCTCGAGGGATTGTGGAAAACCACGAGAAACCTCAGGGTAGTGGGTGTCACTGCCAGGACTGGAACTCTGTACCCGTCTGGTATATTTCAGAATCCTTATCGCCTGAGACAAGAAGATGGAGAACTAGGAAAACGGAAGAAAATGAAGGAGGAATGAGAAAGAATTGGAGAGGAAATACAGGAAAACAGTTTCGCTGTATTCATTTTCCTCCATGTATCAGAGTTGCTCAGAAGAAAGTTGTTGCACAAAGATTAGTTCTGGTGTCTTGTGTTAGGAGGCAGCGCAACGTAAAGAGGCACAGTTGCCAGTTGAGTACCCTTGCCGTGGCCTATCCTCCTCTTGTAGGCCCAGGTCTGCTTTGTTTTTGTCCGTATCTTACCCCGTTACTTTAGCAGACAACTCCTGTGGCAGCTTGAGGGAGCGAATTGTAACATCTAGGAGAACTGTAATCCTTCTTCAGCTGTGAGCGTAGTTTTGTTGTTGTGTGATACATAAATTACTAGCAGGGGGTTGTTCTTGTGACGTCGCTGTTGAATACCGTGGCAGATAGGGTAGTAAGGGGATGGAAGACGCGCGCACTCTGGACCTGTCAAGTATCACCACGACTCGGCGGTAAGATACGTCGGTGGGTGTAGGACTAACGCTACTTATCGTGAACAGTGATGTATTATGGGGGTGGAACGTTGTAGGCCAGGGGTAGGAAATGGCTCAGCACCGTGGGTGTGTTTTATGGGCCACAGATCCACTGGATGTAAAATTGTAAATGTTCAATTTGTGTCTCGTTTTTTTTACGTAACAAATTAAATGTAGGATTTGAGGTTGTGACACCGGTGGTTATGAAGAGTTCTCTGTCTGCTGGGATACAAAGCCCTGTAATACATCGGTAGATATTCAGCCGG